ACTGGCAACTTTCTAGTACAACTTTAGTAAGTACATGCGCCAAGCAGACCCTCACGCCTTATATCTGTCTCGCCTGCCTCTTTCCCATGCTCACTCTTCCGCACTTTACCCCTGCAGCCTCAATCTTTCGAAGTTGTTCACATGTGGGGTTATCCGGTCCTATAATCAAACAAGTTTTTTTGTTCCGTATATTTGATGTCACCACCGCACCCCCAGCGGGCAAAGTAGCACCACTATGCACCACCCACCGAGCAATCTCATCGATGTCCGTCGAGGCGCTGCAGCGGTGCCGGCGCTGGAGCTTTGCGAGGCCTTGCTGGTGCTGAAGACCTGTGGGAGGCGCAGGGCTGGTCCTTTGAACCCGCGACTGTTGAGAAAAGCGGGCTGGGTCCTGGTTTGTCGGGACGTTTCGGGTTTCAGCAGGGTTTGATTTTTCAATTTGGAGGAGTTTACATGATGTCTTTCTCATGCTTTCTGAAAGTCTTTCCGGGTCCCCAAGCTCGATTCGCTGCTGTTGGTTCTCTATCAGTTCTGAACGGAAGTGTGATCTCCCAGCTAGTGATTTCTACAGTAAGCTGTTTTTTGCCACTAGTTTCGTCGTTCGGTTTCCTGAAAGAACCTCGCATACCAACTCTTGTTGGAAGACTACGTTTGGGGCAGGTTGACTCCGGAGCAGCCCTTCGTCTTCGACTTCGTCCGCTTGGCCGCCAACAACGTCGACCGCCTGAAGCGCGGTGAGCGGCGTGTGCTCCGAACTCTGCCGTGGCCTCGGTGACCAGCAGCGGAAGGAGGTGGAGATGGCTGACGCTGAGTTTAGTCGCGACAGTTCAACAAAACACTTCACTACTACATATAGGCTTTACTCGGACCCCGATGGCGGTCCGATGGATATTTTTTTGCCAGATCAGCGGTAGTTTTGACGGGGTTGCAGGGTGAAGCAAAGCATGTTTATTGCCGAGCTACATGAATTCTTGAACCTATATGTTTATAACCAAGTGGTTTTGTGGACGATTGTCGGGTATGATTGTGGATATCAGGCGAGAATGATCAGCCAACGGAGGATAGAAATCGATGTGGTTTACAATCAAACATGGTTCCACCATTAGGATCTCACGGAGGATGACAAACATTCTGCAAGGACCCAAGTGGCTGAGGTGAGCGATGGCCAACACTCGGTTGATGTCCATGGCTGCCATGCTACGGCCAACACTAGTCGGTTGAGGTAGAACTGTCGATCCTCACAGACTTACAGGTGTTTTATCTCAATCAGTTTCCTGCCTTTGACAAGATTTGTCATGGGGTATAACGGCAATTGTTACAGTATTGTGTGTGTTCACACAAGAAGTGTCAACCTCACGCACCTGAGGTTGGAGCATTTGGCGCAACACTTGGGCTTTGAACCCGGCCCGGACTCCGAAAAGCATCGTGCTAAGAAGGGTGAACCAGTACCTGGAAACCTTAATTTTTTTGGTTGTTTCGCAAAAGGAGTCAGTTCTGATAGTTCTGATCTACAGTTCTTTTGGGTGTCTAGATTCTAGGAAAAGGGCCATCATGCCCTGAAGGACACCCTAGTGTATTTGTACTTACTTGTACAAGCATGTATCCTTTGAACACGACAAACAGGAACACACATTACCGTTGACGGGTTGCCATTTTGGGGCAACCAGTGGAAGACTGTAAGGTGGGACCACCACACCTGCTGGATTTTTTTGGGGCGCTGGATGACCATTCTATCAGAAACAGGACGTTTCATTGACCAGAAGGGACAAACGCCATGCACAGAACCTTCGATTTCCCCATTGAATGAACCTCCCGATCTTTGACCAAGACCCGGGGTGCCGTTCTCCTCCTCGTTCGTCCTGCGACCGATGCAGAAGCACGGTCCTTCTCGGTTGGCCATCTCCGTCGGCCATCGGCCAGGTGTGTCGTGGGTCGACTTGGCGCAGGCGCGGTACGTTCGCCGGTCCGGTTCGGACGATGCCGGTCCGGTTCTGGTGGCGTCAGCATCATCACTTGGTGGGGGCGGTTTCACCATGCCCACCGAGTCCTTCCCAAGGGTTGAGCTCAATGACTCAAAAAGGGCACAGGTGGTTTGGAGTCCAGAATCCCTAGTAGGAATGTATAAAGACAATGAAGGTTCAGAATTCAGATCATGTTTGAACCACTCGTGAGTCACACATTGATTGCTGGATGTTCATACAGTTGACGGACAACATTTTACCACCTGTAGGAACTTGGCAGTTGCAGAAGAAAAGTCCCATGGAGAGGACTTACCTATGAGAAATGGTCGGTATTCGGCCGCTTGTCCATCAACAGTAACAGTAGCAACCCTAGAGAATAGGAAAAAGGAACGCTGGAAAACCAGGGGTCGGTCCTGCTCCTTTTTGCCTGTTACGCCACTCCCCCAAACCGATGGTCTCAGACAGACACGATCCGACACCCAATGCCACTGACATCGGACGTGACGAGGCGCCTGCGCCACAGCACGCGCCGGGCTCACCGGAAGCGTCCATTTGCATGCTGGCCAGGCACAGCATGAACGTGGGATGGGTTGGTGGAGCGTTTTACACGTGTGTGTGGCCGCTGCAGACGGACAAGGGTAGGACGTCAATCAAAATGCGGGCCCAAGGGGTTTGCAGACCCAAATCCCCTACCACGCCACTTTGGCCATTGATCACCCAAGGGGTTTGCAAACCGAAGTAACAGAAACCATGGCCACCTCACCCTCACCCACCCCTGTGAGGGTGGCCTTTCAGCACCACGGCGACGTTGGTCTTTCCTTCCTTCGGCGTGGCGCCAGGCATGACTGGTTTTCGCGAAAGAGTCGCGCGCACACGTCCTGGTCCGAGACGCCCAGAGCCGTGGAAAGGATTGACTTGGAGGGGAAAGGATCGACCGTGTGCAAAGCACCGTAGATCTATCCTAAATCTCCTTGCCATGGAGGTCAAAGTTTATCCAAATACATCCAATAATTCCTGCATCACACCCAAAGGTACCGTGGGTCGACTGGTGCCCAACCGCCCCAAAAACAGGGTCTCTGTGAATGCAGGGATTGAACAACGATTGAACTCCCGCAGCTGTCATGGAATGGAGTTGGAACACACCGATGGAACACCCGCAACATACCGATGGTGCCAGCGGCGTACGCGCGCGGCGATGGTGTTGCCTTCCGATCCGGACGGCGGTCACCAACTGTTGAAGACGAGACATTCTGCATATCATTGAGGGCCATGCACCGATTCAACCAAAAGAAAAATAAAAGAAGAAACCCATCAAACCTAAAGGGTGTCAAGCGCTGCGGAGCCTATATATGGGAGCCGGCCTCTTTACTTTTGCTTTGACGGCGGCTCCTTTTAAACCGCTTGTTTCGGGGAAAACTTCGGCTCGGCCGTCCTTCGACATTGACGCGCATGTGCCGGTCAGTCATTGACACGTTAGCTGAATCGCTTCGCGTGTGTCACCGGGGCTGTGGGAAGAACAACCCCTCGATGTGATGTGTTGGGGATGCCTCTCTTCGCACGTCTTCTCTCTGCCGGCGCCGTCGCACGGGCCGAGGTTCCGCCAGCGGGGCCATTTGCGGTGAGACGCCTCGCCCGCGGGCGGACGCGACCACCGAGGCAGGCGAAGACGTGGTGGACGTGGTCGTGGTCGTGGTCGGACCGGGTGACACCGTTGGCGTCGCGAAGAAGGATGCATGAAGGGAAGTGCATCATCCTGAAGAACATGGCAGAAGGGGTCATGAGGATGATGCACTTCCCTTCAGGATGTTTAATTTCATCAGTGGTCATGAGCAGCTGCTTAGCAGATGAGATATGTGAATATAGAAGCCTGGGTTGAATGGATTCGTTTCTGACATGTTCTTTGATCGACAGGTTGAAGTCATTCTCGCTTGAACCACCACGCACCGGCCAGCCATATTGGCTTTGCTGCTGTGCGGAGGACATAGAACATCTATGAAGGCTTCTCAAACAGACTGACATGGACTCGGAACAGATTCCCTAACTTTTTGGAAGCAAGGAGTCACGTAGCCTTTCTCTGAAGACTGGAGAAGGCAGAACCGCAGAATCAGCAAGCATTGATTTTTTAAGGCAGGCGCTTGCAATCTTTCAGTGTCTTTCCGCCATATTGCATGCCAGCAGATACTTTAGCACAATTCAACGCCCACGGACGCAAGGTTTTGAAGATTACAGATTCCCAGATCGTGGAACTGGCTTCAGAACGATACAACGGTGCCGACAAACCAACCAAGAACCTGATACAAAGCCCACACCCGCCGCGACTCCGCTGTGCATCGAATTTCGCCCTACACCATGCCGAGTGCCAGAAGCGACTGGTGGATCAACTCGCTGCTGCTGTTGAGCTCATGTTTGGTCGTCGCCACGGCGCCTGGGCCGAGCAAGCGGCAGCAATGTTCCCCTACGGGATCCGGTCATGAGGTCAAGGACCAGGTTAAACTTGGCCTTTGGACTTCTTTTGCTTTCCGTGGATGTTGGTTCAACAGTTCCATCACAGCTTTGATGTCCTCTACTTTTTTTGGGGGGAGACACCTTGCCCACCGCACCGCCCACCGGCGCGTGCCGCCCTGTCCGGTGTGGTCCGGCCGAGGCCGAAGGGCTGGAGTGGCGGAACTGCGGCTTGGAGCTGAGCCACGCGCCCGCCTGCGCGCCCGTGCGCGATGCCGAGGCACGCGCAGCATCGGTGGGCGATGGGGGCGCTGCATGGGCGGGTGTTTGGCGGCGGCAGATGCCGGGCGCGACGCAAAGCATCGTTCATTGTTCGTGTGGATGGGTCATGGGTCACGGGTCATGGGAAGTCTCCAGAATCAATGTGGATCGGAAAAGGTCTCCAGAATCATCCCCAAGATGCCAATGTCACAGGACCCTATGTCACGACCTTGTGATCACCATGGTCCTTCTCCCTGGTCCTTCTCGGATGTGCGGCATGTGTTTTCCCCCTCTTGACTGCCACCTTCAACGCAACAGGACGGTGTTTTCACGGCTCGTTCGACAGCCGTGAAGGCGTTCCCAGGGTCGACTGGGGTGCCCGGGGGTGCCCAGTCTGACCGCTCAGGTGCCGAAGGCTGGCCTGGTGGGCTTCGTCTTTGGAAGCCTGGCAGCGTCGGCGCCTGGGGCGACGAAAGGTTTGGAAGATCCGGGGGGCCCGGAGATGGTGAAGCGGAGATGGTGGGCTGTTGGAGGTCTATGTCATCTATGTCATGTTCAAAGAGTGTATACCAGGAGCCTCCGTTTGGGGTGTCCATGGTTTTCGCCCCTTAGCTCTGATTTGGGGTGTCCATTCACCACCCCGACTGGGGGTCCTGGTATACACTGAATCACAGAGCTTTCACGTGCTCTTATACGGGAGCGGAATGGAGGGGATGATACTACCTGGCGCTGATGACCTCTACAAGAGTCCAACATGTCGCACGATGTCAGCGACGTTTTCTGCTGGGTGTTTTGGAGAACTTGTGGAGCTGTTTGTTTTGCCGGCCTTGCCGTTAAAGCAAACACATCGCAGCTTAACTTAGCCAGAAGTTTGACTCCTCAAATGCTCAGACAGCCTCAATAACTGTTGTGGGAATACTTCAAGAAGAACAACTGCCAGTCAAATGAGAGAGCTTGTCACTGTGGCCAATCGGTTCCAGTCGGTTGTTGGTCCATGAGATGTGCAACCAATTGAGCGGCAGTCCAGAGCAACCAACAGTGGCATTAATTCTTTCCAGCATCGCCGAATAAATACCGCATCCCTTGCCTGGCCAAATAGAGATGGCAGTGGACCCCTGCTCATTCCCATCCACAAGTCACACACTGAGCACTTCTCCCCGCGCATTCCAAAAAAAAACAACTCTGATATTATGACATCCTAAAGTACCTTCGACAATGGGACGGGACCCTATAAAAACACGTGCATCATGAAACTTCTACGATTTTGCAATACTGTGTACCCATTTTCCAAGGTACTTTGAGACCCCGGGATGATGTGATACTTGACCTTTGTGGAAAGACCGGGTGGTCATATACCACTGGTGGACGGGGTGGTCAGAGAGCACCGCTGTCCTTCCGAGCTCCGCCGCGCTCCCCCGAGGCGGTGTACTGGATCCAGAAGCAGCGCGAGAAGCGCATGCAGCCTAGCAAGGCCTCTCACCCGTTCTTTGGCATGAACGTGGTGGGCTGGACAGGTTGGGCTTGCCGGTTGGATGGGCGGTTGGGTTGCATGTTCAAGCTGTAGGTTGGTTGGTGGTTTGGGTGTAGATCCGTGTGGATGGTGGGTGTTCGGTATGACTTGTTCTTTGTTCATTATCAAGAACGACCTTCCAACACTTCAGGAGGCTCCACTCTCATGAAGATCCAAATTCACCATGTGGAAAAGGAGTGTGAGTGGAGCCCCCCATCCATTTGGGACAGTTTGGTGTCCTTCCCATGACTGGATGGTGCTTTTTTGGGTGAAAAACACGTGTCCACTCGGCTTGGAGCTCCAAACCGGAGCATAAACACGTTGGAGCCTGCAGACGGGCGACATGACGCTTGGGAGGAAGAGGATAGATGAATATAGATGACAGCTTTCTGCAGAAACGGAGGGACATGTCCACATCGCATATTTATGCAATGCGCTGTATTAACTTGTTCATGATTGTTCTTGTGGAAACAAGTGAAAGCAGGATACTTGCTCAAACTTATGAGGGTCCCAGAACAATTGTTGGCAAAGATCCTCCATCCCAGCTATAGAATTCCAACATACGTTTCAAGTTTCAAGGGACCTTCGTTGAGTGACTCTGGTTTTTGGCAGGGGGTCGCACTTTTTCACGCCCATGTAACATGTAACATGGGCGACTCCTGCTCTCCGCGGCGCGGTCTCCGTCGCACCGAGGCGCGAGTGGGCGGTGTGGACCCGGCTCGATAGGCGGAGGGACGGGAGGAAAACGGCAGGGAGGGACGGGGCGGCGCGGTCACATGGGGGGCGGACTTCAACCGGGGACTTGTTGAAGGAAGCCAGGTCACGCAGGTCGATCTATCATGTCCCGTCCCACCCCAACGGGTCCCTGTTTCGGGCTATTGGATTCTGGCTGATGACTGGTGACTGCCTGAGACACCTCGAAGTTCTCGTAAGGGACCATGAGGATTGAAGGACGTGAGGTTTTTTCACGAACAACGACCCCCCATGTTGTTGGAACACCCTTGGTTGCAGTGCATCCAAAAGATATCGATGACTAACTGACTAACTTACCTAACCTCTCTCCGCCTCTCTCCGCTTTGAAAAGGACTCTGAGAACCATTCGATGTCTTCTCAACATGGATCACCCATGAGAGGTGGAACGTTCTCGCTTCAGATCTGGCCGCGAGACACCGTGGGAAACCGAAACTCAAACCGGGCCGTCGGTGGCTCCGGGCGTCGGTGGGAACCGTCGGTGGCAGCAAGTCGCCATGCTATCTCTTGACCATCCACTCCAACCAGGTTTCTAGCTCAGAACGATCTTGGACGACCAATCTTGACTGGGTTTGGTGACCAACACCTAATACTATTTGTGTGTACTAGTAGCACTCAAGGTCCGCTCTTCACTTCCAGCTTCTCCCAAGCCCTTTGTTGTGCTGCAAGCGCAACAAACAAATCCCTTCTTTCTTTCTACGAAAAGTTCAACTCGAGATGGAAAGAAGGGAGACCCACGTGCGCAGGATGAGACCCACGTGCGCCCCTCGTGAAGGAATCCTTGTCGCTCCTTGTCGCTGCCAGAATCTCCCGTGAGGGGCCATGTTGCTTCATCCCAGAGGAGGGACAGTACCGGCAGCGCGGTCTCGGCGCCAGGAAGCGAAGGGGCTATGTGACCCGGAAGGACATCCGGCCCGGTGTGCCCAGGACTTGGGACCACCCAAGAGTTCGCGGCAAGCAGAGGGGCAGTTCATCGAACTTCGATTCGGGCCGCGTGCCCGGGTTCCCTCCCCCCCAAAAACTCCGTCTATGTCGTGTACTCGTAGCACCCGACGATTCTAGGCTATAGTGATCAGGCTATATTATGTATATATCACATGTGATCACAGTTTTCAGTTCTCGGAGATCACAAACACACAAAACTCCTAAACTCGAACCACGGACGAACAGATTTCACCGCTTTCACCGCCCTGCCAATCGGAACATCTCTCCCTTCCCCCTTTTCAGCCGCTTCTTCTCAGCCGTCGGACGCCGCGAGGTCCTTGTGCTATCGCTTCGAGTCGGACGAGCACGCCGAGCACCTCGCGCAGCTGCTGGAGCGGCCCGCGAGACGGAGTCGAACTGGGGAGTCGAACGAGACAGGCGCCTGGCGTCAAAGGCTCAGGCGTTTCCACAGACAGGCGTTGAAAGGAGCAGGCGTTGGCGTCCATGTTTGGGCGTCCATTCTGTGGGCTTCCAGTGCTATGTACAAGATGACTCAGGATGACTCGTCCATGAAGCACATGAAATTATAGATCATATAGGAGATCATGATAGATCATGTATGGTAACCATGAAACACATGTAGATCTATATGTTTGATGGGTAAAATTCCAGGACTCTCCGTCTCTCAGTCCGTCTCTCCACATCGAGCAGTTCATCGACACATCGATGATCATT